AGAATATCTTATGCAACGTAAATCTCCCCTTTTAGCGCGCACCTTACTCGCTGAAATTGACGCCGAGTTTACGCCCGTTATTATATAATAAACCCGGGTACTGTTGCGTTGTAAATCCACGTAACGAGTCGAAACGGGTTAAATTTAGTCCTTTTAATTCATCCTCTAAGCATCGCAGATTCTAAGTTAAGGTGAATTCCTTCACCGCGGTTCCTCTCTCTCTCTCTCTTTCCTTTCTCTCTTCGGGTGCGCATTAGTCACCATAATTGGATACCGAGTTTACGCTCGTTATTACATAATAAACCCGGGCCGCGGTGTAAATCCGCATAACGAGCCAAGGCGAGGAGAAAACTCACTCGGGGTTAATCAAGAAAGCTTATCGTTGCTTTGGCCATGTACACCAACACGTACGAGAGTTCCGTCAATTGCTCTCATATGCAATAAAAACCATACATCTGCTGATACATTGTACGCATTTACTTCCTCTCCTGGTAATTTACATGGAAAATCGGCAAGGGCTAGCTAGGACCTACCTAGGACGAGAGGCTACCAATGTAGGCCCTATATTGGAACGTCACTCTTCTAAATAATGCCTAATTATCAATTCGTTATCAACCGCACTCCTAATTACATTTACTTAGATTTAACCTGGAAAAGTTGTCTTAGATGGAGAACCAAGTCCTGACTAGGGCTTGCCCTCGCTAGGGCTTAGAATGTGGAAGTCCTAGCTAGGGCTTACATCCTACCTTGGACTTTCTGGTCATTTTTCCACCCGAGTTCTTTATCAATTCGTTATCAACCGCACTCCCAATTACATTTACTTAGATTTAACCTGGAAAAGTTGTCTTAGATGCAGAACCAAGTCCTATCTAGGGCTTGCCCTCGCTAGGGCTTAGAATGTGGAAGTCCTAGCTAGGGCCTACATCCTACCTTCGACTTTCTGATCATTTTTACACCCGAGTTCTTCATCAATTCGTTATCAACCGCACTCCCAATTACATTTACTTAGCTTTAACCTGGAAAAGTTGTCTTGGATGCAGAACCAAGTCCTATCTAGGGCTTGCCCTCGCTAGGGCTTAGAATGTGGAAGACCTAGCTAGGGCATCCTATCATCGATTTCCTAGTCACTATTCCACCCGGATTCTATGTCAAATTCACAGCACGCTCGGTTACTCGCACACGGTGGCACATCCAAAGTGTGTCGGGTAGTTCTTGGTTATGTGAAAAAGTGCGTCTTTTACGGCAGCGCATGTAATGGTACGTGTCCATTAATTCGCTCGCGCGTGTACGCACGTGGGTCGACATCCTCGTACGCGCCCACAGGGCCGAGAAAGTCAGACAGTGGCGCCACCCGGCGACCGGGTGGAAAAAGCAACAATGGCGTGGCCGGGGCCTATTATTAGCGACGAATGTCGGTGTGTAGGTCAACCGAATGCTCCTACAGCCAGGACACGGACGATCCGGCCTATCGACCTCAAAGGTCGATCGATCAAAATTCGATCTCGGTCGATATCGACCGCCGGTCTTCGGAAGGATCGCCTGCGCTTTTTGCGAAACCCGCGCGTGGGTGCGCCATCAGGATTCGAGACTCTACCTCGTGTTCTTTCCCTTGACAAGTATAACGAAGTAGGTACGTTATGTCATGTTACGTTATGTTTCCCAGCTGATGAGTCTTAGACTCCCCAGAGTCACCTGAATTCGTGAATCCTTTGTAACATCTCGCTGTGTCTCCGAAGTCAGTCCACTAGCCTAACAAGGTCTGATAGGCTGCTTATCTTGGTTTTTTGCAAGCCCTTGGATATAAAAAATCCCCCACACGGTGATTTCTATCAGTGATAAGCCGTTATGTTACTTTATGTTTCCCAGCTGGTGGGTCTCACACTCCCAATTGTCGCCTGGATTCATGAATCCTTTGTAACTTCTCGTTGTTTCTCCGAAGTCTGCCCACTAGCCTAACAAGGTTTGATAGGGTGCTTATCCCCGGTTTTTGCAAGCCCTTGGGACCAAAAAAATCCGCCGAACGATGCTTTCTATCCGTGATAACCCAGAACAGGGTACTGGTAGAACGTGTGTAAGATCGTGGAGTAAAGAGCGACTCCATCGCGGAGAAAACCTGCGGATTCCTAAGCTCGGAAATGACTATTTGCCTGGTGAAATGACCGCATAAGTTGGCGTAGGTCAGTCGATGTAGGTAGGTAGGCTGAGATGCCGTTCGTTTCCACTCTTTATTACTTTCCTCGGCGAGCGTTTTGTCCCAAACGAGTTCTCAACGGTTCTCCAGTTCACGAGCTCGGCTACCAACCCTCTAACGATAGGACGATGGACCAGCAGTGGTCCCTTCCGATAACCACGACCAAGCAAGAAACTCGGTAGAGTATCGAGGAAAATACGTATCTATGAGAATAGGTTATGTCGAATGACGAAAGAAACGCGTCTTCTACTATTTTCATGGGGAAAATACTGATAGAAAAGCCCTAGACAGTACCTAACCCTTTAGCTAGGGCTCCCAAGTTTGAAGTTCCCAGCAATGGCCCCTGCCTTGTTAGGACCTGGTCGGGTATATAACACAATTCTTCTTGGTTAACCCCAAGTTAAGACCTAACCAGAATTTAATCTAGCTCTAATTTAAAACAATTCCTCCTGGTTATCATCAGGTGAAGACAGAATCAGGGTTTTAATCACGCATTTAAGACAACTTCTCCTGATTGGCGTCAAGGTATGCCCTAGTTAGGACTTAATTTGTTATTGCCGGGTTGGCCGCCTACTCAAAAAAGTGCAACATATCAATCTAAGGGTAACTCCCTTCGTTATCGGGTTGGCAGCCTACGCAAAAAAGTGTAGCATATCAATGTAGGGGTAATTCCCTTGATTGTCGGGTTGGTGTTTGTTTGCTCTAACCAGGTCCTAACTACTATTTCCGCAAGTTGCCTCCATTGATCGAGCATCAACTATCTATAAATCGTCTCCCATCCCTCCCAATTTCTTCGATTATCAATTTCCAAGTGATCACGCGAGTGGAGTTGCCACCGCCCACTATCACAACACGGCTGCGCAGTGGCCGGAGATTTCGTAACAGCCGGCGCGCACACAGAGCTAACAGCGACTGCCTTAACCGCCGGCTTTGTCTCTCTTTGTGACGGATTTAGCGACAGGGTCCCTAAAAATACGACGGGCCGCTGTGTGCCCACCGGAGGATTATTTTCGTCCCGGACTTCCACGTGTTTAGAAACCCGTTCGCGCCTGCACCGTGGCTCGTGGATTTAGGGCGAATCCTTGTTCCCCAATTCCCAAAAGAAGACTCGGCACCTCTAAACCAGGACCGCACATCCTAACAACACCGATTTAACCTAAAAACCGGGATACATACACCAAAATCCAGGTCGAAAGATGACCAATCGATCAACCAATGGTCAACAAATGGTTGAAAACATTCACAGGCTGTAGAGCGGACATTGTTGGTCCCTCTTCCTGGAGGAGTAGGAAGACCATGTCCGAAGGCGCAAAAACAGCTTGCGAGGGAGCCCTCTCGGCTTAGAGCTTGTATTTCTGGCCGGTGGCCGATTGCTAAGATTAGCCGCCGACTTCTAAACTTAGTCTGACATTTGTGTACATCGAATTCTCCACTCTTTGGGGGCGCGTGTCAAGATCCCAAAAGGCGCGTTCGCCACTAAGGAGTTCGCTGGTGTCCCTCTGGACGCGATTTCCTCGGGACTAACTCCGACACTTTTTACCCGAAGGGAAGATGCCTCGAGTCCCTCGCCTCGATGAAGATAAGAAGATAGGAGATTCCTTCCCGATTAAGCGATCTAAGACCTAATAGATCTCACTCCGCGAGATATACGTCCGAGATAAATCCTGAGCTTATCGGCATTACCCACGAGGGTATCGTCGACATAATGTTGCATAACCAGCCCGTAATTAATTTCCTCCCTGACGAGCGCGAAGAGTCGGAAAACTAGTTTCTTCGGTTGGAGGCGATCAGCTGTTCCGCCGTAGCGGTCGAGGGGAAGTACGGGCCATCCGATTGGACGGACTCCTGGCTCGTTAACGAGGCGATAATACCCCCTAACGCGAATTATCGCCGAGTCTTTTGGCTCTATGTCTCCACGAGGTCGATACTTTTCTTCTTTTTTTTTTTTTATACGCGCATTATGCAACGATCGGGTCTCCTTCGGCGCGATCGACAACCCTGGAGAGCCTTGGCTCCAACCTCGGCAGACAATTGTTATCGCCTTTACTCGCGAGCCGTAAAGCTCCTTACTTTGCTATAGGAATTAGTAAAAGCACTTAGAACCCTGAATATTAAATCCGGTATTCGATCAATTTCCCCATGGACGATCGGTTGTAAAATTGATTACAGATCCAACAATGCGCCCGACTGGAGTAGCAGAGTACTTTAATCGTGGGTGAAGGGATGAAAAATTTAGGCACCGCTTAGAATCTCTAATTGTAGGGTGTAAATGGGTTTGAGAGAAGGGTAGAGTTAAAGAAGGGTAATTTCCATGCAATCGGGGTTCTACCTTAGACCTTAAGGGCCGTTTACACCGACACTCAGGTTAAGATTCTTAATCAATGATTACTTAACTCGTCATTAAAGTTAATCGCCCGATTTCGGGTTACCTAGCAATGGATTTTCAAGATCGGTTTAGTCTAACTTTTGTCGGTACAACAGGAATTTCGTTAATTAGTGGGTGACTAATCGTAACTAAGAAACTTCATTCTAATCGCGGTTGGTGCACTGAGAAAAAAAAAATTCATTGTAGCAAAGAAACATTTTGTTAATTCAAATAAGTTGTCTTATTTCTGAATAAAAGAAAAAAACCTTTCATCCAATTTATTCGAATTTATGTGAGTGAAATAATTATTCTTTGAATTAACAAAATATGTCTTTGGTACTATTCAAAGAAATATGTCCTTGGTTTAATGACAGTTTTTTCTCAGCATGTAACCGTCCTTAAAGGTGAAGGTTTGATAATTGTTCTTAATTGCAAGATACGTACCTAATTGATTCGTGTGGTGCATATTGTAGGTAGTACCATAGTCCAGGGCCATATGCCCCTGGTCCACTTTCGCGAGGAAAGAACTCCGCGTGTTTCCGTATCGTGCAACATCCAAGCCTCGCGACTCTGGCGCCCTCTGACGACCCGGCACTCGATAGATCGAAGGATCTCTGGATCGATATCGATCCTAAGTGACCGAAATTAGTTCCCCTCGCTAACCGAATGATCCCATCACTGCGAGGTCAGCGAGAAAAGTATCCTGCGGGGTCGCAGCTGCAGCTGCACGGTGGAATCTCGCCCTCCTTATTTCACCTCTCTCGAGTGATCTGGAAAGAGAAGAAAGCCATGATCGATTATGCGAGCACAATGGTTAGGCCAGATTCGATCAGTTAATTAAACAGGCGCGAGGGTGACCGGCTCGACGAAGAAACCGAAGGAAAGGACGCGGTTGCTAGGACGCGGTCGCTAAGACGCGGTTACTAGGCGACGCAACACGTGGTTACCAGGCAACGTGACGCGCGATTTGGTGAATATACCTTTCACGCTACAAATGTTTACAAACTGTTAGCACAGCGTTGCAGCTCGTGTTTCCCGACTTAAAGGCACGTTAATTGCCGACTCGGTAAGAGGTTAAAGTTCAGCAATGTCGGGGAAAGTTGGAGAACGAAAGTGCCGGTAGCGGCGCGGTTGCCAGGCAACTCGACGCGTTTCTCGCGCGACCTGGTAAACTCTAAGTATTAATACCTTTAAATATTAGCAAACGAGGGATTAATCCGATACTTCAGGAAACGCTTCCTTGGCGATCTAAGTGAAATTTTCTTTCAAGATTCGAAGGTGCAGGGACATGAAAAAAATTAAAAAAAAAGTACAAAAAACTATGGAGAACGAATGGGAAGGTGGCGTCGCGGTTGCCAGGCAATCTCGCGATCCGGCAACGGCGCGGCGATGGCGTCGGGTCGCGGGCAATATTTTTGTCGCCGGCATGCAAACCACCGACGTGAAGGCGGCACGGCACGCGTAAAAATACCCGGTGCCGAAGCCGAGGGTTATTTACGCGCGGCGGCTTAAGTCCCATACGCGGCCGAGGACCAGAAAAGAGTCCGCCTTGGCGGAAAAAGATGGCGGATGTGTCTCAATCCCTGTTCGCGGCAGCTGTCCGTCTCCCGTCTCGAGTGGCCACGCCAAAACAAAACAGGTCGCCGCGCCCCCGCAAACCGTCAAAAGCCCGTAAATCCGGGCGAACCTGGCGCCCAGGGTGAGACACCTAACATCCGTTTCCATCAGCGCGGCTTAGCGACTGACTTTTACCGAGGAGCCCCCCGAGTTCCAGTTTTTTTGAGGTTAACTCAAGAATTCAACGACGAACGTGAATTCCTGGACCAGGGGATCACCGTCGACCAAAAAGTCATATTCCCAAGGAAACTATCCCAGCCACACTTAACCGATTTAATATATCTCAACATATGACGTGGTACATCGAAAAAATTAGAGATACATATTTAGGTTACCCTCGTCATTTCGGGAGTTTAAGGGACGGATAGATTATTGAGATCTTCTCGTAAATGGACCATTTCCTGGGCGGCATTCCTGTAAATTCTGCATTTTGAACAAGCGATTCCAAAGACACGTGGTATCCAACCCCGTTTGCAAGAAACCGTATAAACTGTTCATGGGGATCAACAGTGAGGATGGTTTACATCGCTTAAACTCGCGGGTTAGCACGTAAAGGAGGGTTCGTGTCTCTCATTTATCATTGTACAAGCATGTCGGATCCGAGAAAATCGGTTAAGTACACCTGGGATGCTATCCTTATCACCGTAAAATGGGGGCAATGGCGTTTATCGGAAACGGGATCCCCCCCCCTAGTTCGTTTTGCATCGCGGAGCCACCCTTGACCTTGATCTGGAAACGGCGGGTCACGTGGCCGTTAACCTCGAACTAACGAGAGGCACGAGAAAGCCATGGCATGGCGGTGCGACGCCTTCCGCGTTTCCGCCATGGATTTAAGAATTCACGGACAGAGCCCAAGCCAGAGGAGTCAGTGCTCGAGCAAATAAGAGGGGAACACGTGGGACCAACAAGAAGGTAGCCATATTGGTCAGCCAAAATCTTAAATGCTCCTAATTACGTGAGATTTACTTATGTCACTTTTCTACTCACCGCATAAAAAACGGTGCTAAATGAGAACGAAGGTCGACATGCCAACATGTAGCACAAAGACCTCTGTGAACGATGTTTTATGTAGAGTCGTAAAAGGAAATAAATTAGAGCAAACGGGAAAGACAAAAGAAGGTGACCAGGAGGGTAAAAAAATTGATTGTCCAATATGGCCGCCTTACCGCTCGCTTTCTTATGGCGGAGACTTCTCCCTGGTCCGACAAGGAAGGTACCCGAGGTGTCCCCCTCCGATTTTGTTCATTTTTAAATATGTTATAGAGGACTAAAATCTAAGGGACCCGTGTTTTTTTTTATCGGCGGATAAACACTTTTAGGGGGTGAAATCAGGCTTCAAGATTGGCCGTGCAAGGGGGTGAGTTGGCTGTTTCATATAGAAGCACTCGACCGATTTTCATGAAACAACCGTCAAAATGTAGGGAATGAAGAATTATGAAACATACATTTGGAATTTTTCTAAAAAAATTCATTTTTAAGGGGTGAGCCACTCCTTTGAATACTTATTTTACCCCTTACGCGAGCAGTAATTGTTCTATCCAAATGACACTTGGTTAATTTATAGACCAGAACAATACAAAGAAAGTATCATTTGGATAGAACAATTACTGCTCGCGTAAGGGGTAAAAGAAGTATTCAAAGGGGTGGCTCACCCCTTAAAAATGAATTTTGTTCGAAAAATTCCAAATGCATGTTTCATAATTCTTCATTTCCTACATTTTGACGGTTTCATGAAAATCGGTCGAGTGCTTCTATATGAAACAGCCAACTAACCCCCTTGCACGGCCAACCTTGAAGCCTGATTTCACCCCCTAAAAGTGTTTATCCGCCGATAAAAAAAAAACACGGGTCCCTTAGATTTTAGTCCTCTATAACATATTTTAAAATGAACAAAATTGGAGGGGGACACCTCAGGTACCTTCCTTGTAAGATGGGACTTTAGGTTCTATATATTGTTCCATACATAGTCTATATATTGTTCCATGCATAGTCTATATATTGTTCCACCCATGATCTATATATTCTTCCATGCATAGTCCGTACATGATTCCATCCATGACCCAATACATGATTCCATCCATGACCCAATACATTCTTCCATCCATGGCTTTCGCGAGTCCTCCGCCGGTGGCGCCTCCTGACGTGTCGCCCTCTTACGTGCTCGAAAGCCGACAGGAAGGGACCAACGACCGCATAATGGATGCAGCCACGGGAGACTAGGCTAACGCGATATCTCGCCGCGTCTTTTTCCTCTCCGTGTCTCCTGACGAGGGCCGCCCCTCGGAGCCGCCCGGCTCTTATCGGGCGCATCTCGCCGATAGTACGCCGGCGCACCGGAAGGCGCTGACATCGCATATGCGCATGCGTAATCGCGCGCCCCGCGAGAGCAGACATAACCTAGCTTACGCGTTCCCAAGTAGAGGCAGGGCCCGATAAAGAGGGGCTGGAAGAAAAGAGGGTGGGGGGCAAGATGAGAAGATCGTTTTCGTACAAATGGTACATTGCGGGCAGATCGAAAGACTGCCGCAAGAAATTTCATTCGTGTAGGTGAAGGATATACAAAAAGAGAAAAAAATAGAATTCATTCGACTCGTTCAGGTGTACCATCCAAAAGGATTTTCAGGCCTCCTCCCTTTTCGACGAGACCGCCATTTTGGTGCTTCTCGGTCTAAGAGCACTTACAGAGCGCGCGTTGTTCTCGACATAACCGATAATTCCTCAAAGGCGGTAATAAGTAAAGTTAAGGGAGAAAGCTTGACATGGCGAACGATCGACCTTTCGTGTCGCCTTAATCGACACTCTTTCCTTAAAGGCGGTAAGAAGTGAAGTTAAGGGAGAAAACTTGACATCGCGAACAATCGACCTTTCGTGTCGCCTTAATCGGCACTCTTTCCTTAATGGCGGTAAGAAGTGAAGTTAAGGGAGAAAACTTGACATCGCGAACGATCGACCTTTCGTGTCGCCTTAATCGGCACTCTTTCCTCAAAGGCGGGAAGAAGTGAAGTTAAGGGAGAAACTTGACATCGCGAACGATCGACCTTTCGTGTCGCCTTAATTGGTACACTTTCCTTAAAGGCGGTAAGAAGTGAAGTTAAGGGAGAAAACTTGACATCGCGAACAATCGACCTTTCGTGTCGCCTTAATGGGCACGCTTTCCTCAAAGGCGGTAATAAGTAATGTTAAGGGAAAAAGCTTGACATCGCGAACGATCGACCTTTCGCGTCGCCTTAATCGATACGCTTTCCTTAATGACGATAAGAAGTGAAGTTAAGGGAGAAAACTTGACATCGCGAACGATCGACCTATCGTGTCGCCTTAATCAGTACGCTTTCCTTAAAGGCGGTAAGAAGTGAAATTAAGGGAGAAAAGTTGACAAAGAATCGAGCAGGGGGGCCATTTCTTTGGCCCTGCAAGAGTCTGGCCATCGGCCAGGGCAATTTCGAGCATTGCCTCGGCCGGCGACCACTCGACCGAGCCAATCGGCCGTCGCGACGACACGCGTGCGCGCGGCCCACACCGACCTAACCTAAATGCACGTGCACGCGGGAGGAATGCCACGAGACGGGAGAAAGATCGGGAGCGAGAGAGTCCGAGTAGCGGCGCGGCGGCGGGAGGGAGAGAGAAGGAGAGACCCCACTCGAGGTCCGGCGTTCATCTCGTGAATTGATCCCGTGACTTCGCCTAAGTGATGGGAATGGCGTCCAGTGACGTCACCGGCCCGTCAGGATGTCACCGTCGGCGAATACCGCCGTTCACGGGGGCGGCGAGTCATCGGTGGAAATTGACATTAATTTCTCGGCAGACCGGGTGACCGGGACCGGCACGATCTCTGCCGGCGAGTCGGATGAAAAGATCTGTGCGACTTTGCGGGGGGGACTTAAGATTCGATTTTCCATACGGTGGGACGAGTCGTCGATCGAGTGACCGGGACCGGTATGAGCTCCACCGAGGAGTTGGATAAAATGATGTATGCGACTTTACGGGGGGGCTAAAAATCTGAGTTTCCAAACGGTGGGAAGAGTCGTCGACCGAGTGACCGGAACCGGTATGAGCTCCACCGGGAAGTCGGATAAAATGATATATGCGACTCTGCGGGGGGCTAAAAATCCGAATTAAAAACGGTGGGAAGAGCCGACCGGGTGACCGGAACCGG